CTCACCTGGGCTGCGTCTAGACTGGCATGATTTAAAAAATCTTGCCGCCTGTCTACACTGGCCGCGAGTATTTGCGCAAGAACACTGACTTTGTAATGTACAAAATCAGTGGTTCTTGCGCAAATACTCCGACGGTCCCGCCAAGGGATCAGCCCTCTTGCGCAAGTATTCTTGCGCAAGAGGGCCAGTGTAGACAGCCAAGTTAATTTCTTGCACAAGAAAGCCTGATGGCTAAAATGGCCATCGGAGCTTTCTTGCGCAAGAGAGCATCTACACTGGCATGGATGCTTTTGCGCAAAAGCAAATCTTTTGCACAAAGGCACATGCCAGTATAGACACTCTCTTGCGCAAATACTTTTAAAGGAAAAACTTTTCTGTTAAAAGTATTTGCGCAAAATCTTGCCAGTCTAGATGCAGCCCTGGACTCTCTGGGTCAGGCCCACCTTCCCTCAGGCAGCAGTCTCTCATCAGTTCCTGGCCCCTGGCCCCTGTTTCCCCAAGCTTCTCAGCCAGAGCAAAAGCTGGCGATCTGCTGCTGCTGGACTGGGCACATTTGTTGGGGAGGGCTCTGTGTTACTAAAGAGAATGCTTTCCCAGGTATCTGCCTGGTGAGTCTTGCCCACATGCTCAAGGTCTAACTGATGGCCATATTTGGGATTGAGAAGGGATTTTCCACGGGGTCAGATTGTCAGAAACCCTGGTTTTTTCCCCCTTCCTCTCCAGCATCATTTGCAGGTTTAAATTAGTGTAAATGGTGTATCCTCTGTAAGTTGAAGTCTTTAAACCATGATTTGAGGCCTTCAGGAACTCATCCAGTGGTTAGGGGTCTATTAGGGTATGTCTACATTGCATTCCTTCTCCTTTGAGAGAGGAATGCAAATGCAGACAAACGAAATGGCAAATGAAGCGTGGATTTGAATTTCCCGCACTTCATTTGCATAATCGTGGCCAGCTGCTTGCGAAATAGCATATTTCGAGAAAAAAATTGGGTTATTTTGAAAAGAAACCCTTCCTTCGAAATAACCCTTAAACTTCATTTTTTAAGGAGTAAGGGTTATTTTGAAGGAAGGGTTTCTTTTCGAAATAACCTCATGTGAACCGCGTTTTTTTTCTCGAAATACAGTATTTCAGAAAAGTGGCCGGCTGCGATTATGCAAACGAAGCATGGGAAATTCAAATCTACGCTTCCTTTGCAATTTTGTTTGTCTGTATTTGCATTCCTCTCTCGAAGGAGGAATGCAGTGTAGACATACCCTTACAGAAGTGCAGGAGATCATGATGGTCCTTTCTGACCCTACAGTTGGTGAGATCTGCTCTTCCTCCTAACCTGCATCTTGTCTGAGCTGGGCTTACCTCTTAACACTGCCCTTCCCTCCACTCCTAACACTCACTCCAGGGCTATGTCTAGACTGGCATGATTTTCCGGAAATGCTTTTAACGGAAAAGTTTTCCGTTAAAAGCATTTGCAGAAAAGCGATTGGCACGGACGCTTTTGCGCAAAAGCACTTTTTGCAGAAAAGCGTCTGTGCCAATCTAGACGTGCTTTTCCACAAAAAAGCCCCGATCGCCATTTTCGCGATTGGGGCTTTTTTGCACAAAACAAATCTGAGCTGTCTACACTGGCCCTTTTGCGCAAAAGCTTTGCGCAAAAGGACTTTTGCCCGAACGGGAGCAGCATAGTATTTCCGCAAGAAGCACTGATTTCAGACAGTAGGACGTCAGTGCTCTTGCGGAAATTCAAGCGGCTAGTGTAGACAGCTGGCAAGTTTTTCCGCAAAATCAGATGATTTTGCGGAAAAACTTGCCAGTCTAGACACAGCCCAGGGGTAGCAGGGCAGGATGACCGAGCTCCCAGGCTCCTGTTAACCCCTTGTTGGCCAGGGTGTGATTTGTACCCCTTGCATAGGAGCTTGTTGAAGAGAGGTTTTCCCCACGATCCCTCCCCCCATGCTGGCGGGGGGCAAAGCTGCGTGCACTCCTGAAGGCACTCAGCTGTGGCAGTGCAATGATTGTATGGTGCTTTGGAACCCTGTGGGTTCCAGGTGCTTTGTGCAGGTTAAATCTATGGTTTCTGTTGCTGGAATCAGCAGGGGCAGTGCAGCTTAGGCCGATGTGGGAGAGACCCAGGGCTCACCAGTGCCTTCCAGTGAGGACAGCAAAATATCTGGGCAGGTGGTAGTTTATCATCTTGAAATTCTAGGACTGAGATTACTTGGATCCAAGCTAGAGGGAGGGGCCTCCAGCCGGGCACAAAGAGCTGAGAACCATCCAGCTCATTGCACCTGTGACTGAAGTGCTGCCAAGCCCAGAGAGCAGGGTACACAGATCAGAATAAGTGACCAGCCTTGCCCCACCCAGTGACTCAGTTGCCACCAACGGTAAGTACATCCCAGGCAAACAGAGCAGTGTGTCAACACATAGCCAGGCGAGGACAGGGACGCGGAGTCCCCCCACAGCAGTTGGCTCACCATGAGTGCAGAGGAAGCAAACCAAGCAAGGTCTCCTGAGGCAGGTGAGTAAGGGCAGAGTTTCCTTGGGGTGGTTTGATCACAGGAGAAGCAGCTGGGTGAGGAATGATTTTTTTTTTGAGTGAATTTTCTCTGCTTAGACTACGGAGGGGGCCTGTTAAGGGGGTAAGATTGGTGATGCAGACATTTGGCCATTGTGGAAATGCACTGAGACCCATCAAACTCATTGCACTGGGGGGCTCCAAACAGCTGTCAGACGGCGGCAGCTCTAGGGCACAGCCCCCTCTTCAGTTACTTCACACCAGCTCCCCTCCCCAAAGCTGTTCAGAGCGTGACCCGTCCAGTCCATTATCCATCTCCAGTAGTGGGCATTGTGGGATGCTTCAGCAGAAAGAGTAACCTCTCCCAGGATATTGAGCTGTGTGATGCTGTTCCACAGGGAGCAGTTTCTACCTGACTTTGGCCAGATTCTGCCTGGAAGCTGGCACTTCGGGAGCACCTGTCATCCTGATACACCAGAGGCTAGGGGGGCAAGTGCAGGGCGGTGGATCTTCCTAGAAGTGACAGGGTACAAGGAAACTCTTTCCTTCTGCTGTGGGTGGGGGGCTGGTGCTACAATCCAACGCTTTGCGGTGCCTCACGCCAGTGGGGTCAGCCAGGCTGGCAGCCCTGCCCCCCTCACACATACA